TGAGCCACAGCTGGACCTAGGTGATGCTTTTTCTTACTATACCTTTTTTTTTTTTTTTGGCAGCTGGCTGATATGGGGATTCACACCCTTGACCTTGTTGTTACACCACACTCTAACCAACTGAGCTAAGCAGCCAGTCCTCCCTCTGCTTTAAAAAAAAGTGGGGTTTTTTATTACTTGCTTGATAAAACCCAACAGGTAAAAGCTACCAGGAATACATCTGTAGTCCAACAAAATTAAATTTATTAAGTTGCTGCAGCAGGAAGACCGTACAGCGGGGGAATAGTGGGACATCTTGGAAAGGGGTTGAAGCTTGTGCTGGGTGATTCTGAGGGGAGACGGGGGGAAGAGACCAGCTCTGGGTTGGGTGCTGTCATGGAGGAGGGGCAGTTTAGGAACTGGGTGTCTCTGCAGTCTTTGTTCTGCAGGCCAAGGGGAGAAATTAAGTGGGGCTGGAGAATTAATGAGTAAAAATGCAGTAATTACTCAAAAGAAAGGAATTGTTAGTCTTCTTGCTGCTGTGGTGAGGTCTTGGGAGAAACATTGTTTTCTCTTGGTTTCACCACTGTCTTTGTCTCTGTTGGGTACATAGTGGTCTGATTATCAATAGGCTGATTTTCACTTTTTCAAAGTAGACTATTGTCAAAGGACAAAATTACAACATATCCAAAGACCTCAACTGGCTTTACTTGTGATTCTAGGATCAGGCAACACTTTATTCCATAAAATAGAGTAAATGTTCCAATGAGCTGGGCAAAAGGGTTTAGCTTTAGAAACAAAAAAAAGGGCTAAAAAGGCAGAAACGAAGAACAAAAAGCAGATTGGTTATTTCAAAGTTACTTTCCTTGTAAGGTGGGGACAGGGAGACAGAACAATAGACAAATAACTGGTTAACGTCCGGTTCCTTCAGGCTATCTCTTTTGTGCAAGGATTAAAGCAGAGAGAACTTCATTATCATGCCCATTAAAGATTTAAACTGGCTTGTTTGGGAAACTGGCTGTTATCTCTTTCCTGATCCTGGGAAGGTCAGACGACAATTTAATTTGGGCTTGGTGAATGGAACTTTAGCAGGGGTGACTCCATTTTTATTTTTAGTCTGGTCTGTTGGGGCCTAGTGCAGGACCTCAGTCTAAAACAATGGACTCCTACAATTTTTACTGAACACTATTGTTTTAGTCAGTTTTGTGTTGCTATAACAGAACTACCTGAGACTGGGTAATTTATAAGGAAAGGAGGTTTATTAGGCTTACGATTCTGGGACAGCTGCATCTGGCATGGGCCTCAGGCTGCTTCTACTCATGGTGGAAAGCAGCAGGCAGGCAGCGGGTACAAGCAGATCACATGGTGAGAAGAAGCAAGAGAGAGAGAGAAGGTGTCAGGGTCTTTTAAACAACAAGCTCTCGTGGAAACTAATAGAGCTAGAACTCACTCATTTAACCCCCCTCCCCCAGGGACAGCATTAATCAATTCATAAGGGATCTGTCTCCATGACTCGATCACTTTCCAATACTGCCACATTTGGGATCAAAATTTCCAAATGTGTTTTGGAGGGGACAACACATCCAAACTCCATCAACTATGTAGAAAAGTAAATTCTATTTTTTTTTTTTTTTTTTTATAAAAAGATGACCGGTAAGGGAATCTTAACCCTTGACTTGGTGTTGTCAGCACCACGTTCAGCCAGCGAGCGCACCGGCCATCCCTATACGGGATCCGAACCCGGGGCCTTGGTGTTATCAGCACCGCACTCTCCCGAGTGAGCCACGGGCCGGCCCTAGAAAAGTAAATTCTAAGGCTTTATAAAAACTACCTATGGAAGTTCAGGATTTAACATACAGCATCTGAGTGGACAGTGGGCATTAATGGGGAAAGAGAATTAAAAACACATTTTCAGTTTTAGAAACAATCCTCAGAATGTGGGACATGGAGATCTTCCATTTGTGACAACATGGATGAACCTGGAGGACATCATGCTAAATGAAATAAACCAGACACAAAGAAAAATATTGCATTACCTCACTTACATGTGGAATCTAAAAAAAGTCAAATACGTAGAAACAGAGAGTAGCACAGTAGTTATTAGGGGTGGGGTGGAGGTGGGGGAAATTGCGAGATTATCAAAAAGTGCAAAGTTGCAGTTATGCAGGATGAATAAGCCTAAAGAACTAATGTACTTACTGCAAGAGGACTACAATAATAATATTGGTCGGTCTGAGTGCAGTGGTGTTTACGACTAATTGATTGATCACAACCAGTTACAGATTTCTTTGTTCCTTCTCCATTCCCACTGCTTCACTGACTTGTTTTAAAAACAAGAAAATTGTATGCTGGAAATTTGCTAAGAGAGTAGAGTTTAGGTGCTTACCACACACCCACAAAAAGGTAATCAGGCGAGGTGATGGTTAGGTTAACCTGCTTGACTGTAGTAATCATTTCACTATGTATATGTATATTAAAGCTCCATGGTTTTATCCATTAAATATATACAATAAAAAAATCACATAACAAAAAAGAAGCTGGGATTGAAACAGAGTAAGGCTAGGTCTGTGAACCAAACTGACTCCATTTTCCCTGCAGAGGCCACGTTGTTACTTTTCCCCTCCTCAGTCATGAGACCCCCAGGGCAAATGATTACATGGGCTGCCCTAATAAAAGAGATTGAGATAAGAGAGGAAGCAGGTATTGACTGAGGTGGAAAACCCCTCCCCAAGGCTTGTTTACCACAATTATAAAAGTTACAGATTAACTTTAAGACCCCTTTAGGAATTCCCACATGTGCACAAAGCTTCAAGGTGACTGCTACAGTGACCCTCCTGGGGTGACAATGATGAACACCACTGCCATCTTGGACCTACTGAGCAGGCACCCATGACGCAACCAGGAAGTACAGAATGGACCACCTCCAGTGACGCTGGCCTTTACCCCTTAGCTCCTTTCTCTATAAAAGAACCTGAACAGCTCCTCTCAGGGGGCTCACTTTACTGTGGCTATCTCCCTTATGCATAAGCTTATCTCCTCGTTTAATAAAGCATTCCTTGCTTTACTGCTGGGTACATTGTTCATTTCTATGACTTTGGAATACAAGAGCCTAATTTAATCACCTGGTGAAAAGTGGGAAGCTTTGGGCACCAGAGAAGACTGTAGCTGCAAGAGGCAAATGGCCACTGGAACTATTCTGCTCCCATGTCAACACTGCTGGTAAGTTTCTCCTGCAATCCCTGGCCTAAATTCTGACAAGGCAATGCTTTATTCTCTTTTACTCTTTTCCCCTTTATCTTCCTCTTTTTTTTGGTGGCTGGCCGGTATGGGGATCTGAACCCTTGACCTTGGTGTTACAAGACTGTGCTCTAACCAACTGAGCTAACCGGCCAGCCCCTTTTCTTCCTCTTTAAAGTGACTGCTGGACAACAACAGCTTAAACTCCTGTCAGCCTGTGAGGAGCCTGCTCCCTCTGGGCGGCAGAGGCTTGCCCTCACGGGTGACTAGCAGAGGTGGGAAGGCCAGTCCTACACCATGAAGATCTTGCTTGAGCAGGTTCTCCCTGATGGGGGATTCATGAGAGTGGTGGGGATTCATTCCCATGCCGCACGGTGACTGGAAGTCTGGAAGCTGCTAGAATTCTCTTTACCTTCCTCTGATTTTCTGAGCCCTCTTCTGTTTGGTTGGATTATATCCACTGCTATGTAGGTGCACCCTGGAGAGCTCCTGGCTATGCTTTGCTTCTCTGATTTAAATCTAGTCGGTACTTTTCTTCTTCGTGCCAACAGTGGGGACAACTGCTTTTGTGGAATAGGTTGGTGCTGCCGATTAGGACTAGGATAAACTGGACCCCCCCACTGCTCCTCTTTTGTTTGCTTGGTTAGACGTAGTTGAGTACCGGTAATCTGAATAAACCGTCCAATCCTTGCACCAACTTTTGGACTTCCAGGTCATTTGTTTCATGTGAGAGGGCATGCCGAGCCTGGTGTAAGAGGATATTCCAGACACTTTGTCATTCTGTTAACTGTATTGTGAAGACAGTACTAAGGGTTTTCAATGGACTCTCATTTTCACAACCACCTTTGGGGTATGTACTATTATTATTATGTTTTTACAGATGGAGATAACTTGCTCAAAGACACATAGCTAGGAATGAGAGGAGGGAGATAATAGGCACGTGTCCACTCCAGAGGCCTTGGTTAGCCACCATGCTATCCTCTTGAGCTGAGAGAGGTTAAAATACCTGGCCAAGGTCACACCACTGATATCTGGGATAAGAGGTAATGTTTAAGTGTCATGTACAAGGCACTAACCTTAGGGATTTCCGCACGTGTCCTATAATCTTCACAGCAATCCTAAGAGGCAGGGTGCACTCTCATCGTCCTTAGAGAGAGGAGGAAACTGAGGCTCGGCGAGGATAGGTATCTAGCCTACGCTTATACTTGGGAAATGGGAAAGTCCGGATTCAAACCCAGGTCTTCGGCCCCAAGTCCCAAATTCCTCCCCTTCTACTTGACTGTTCACCGGGAACCGAGCCTTTGAATGCGGCCACCCAGCCTTGGAGCCCCCGGGCACACCTGCGCGGCTCCGGAGCGGGCCCCGCCCCCCGCGAGACGTCTCCACCAATCAGCGGCGCAGGGGGCGGGCCTCGGGCGCGCACGCTCCGGACCCGCAGTTCAAGTGGCGAGAGCGCAGGGAGACGCGCCGCGCAGCCGGCGGGGACCGAGCGGACTCCTCGGTCTCCTTCCCCCCTCGCCTGGCCTCGCCGCCTTCTCCTCCCCGCAGCCGGACCGGAACTATGTGATCCCGGAAGTTCCGGGGCCATTGCTGTGTGGGATAAACAGTAATGGCGGAGGCTG